GCGAAGGAACTCAAAAAAAGTACCAAGTGGAGGTCGTTAGGAGAAGAAACAGAAATAATATACCAAGTTGAAATTTTGATTAGAAGGAACTTAGAAATTATACCAAGTTGTAGTCTTGGTGAGAAGAAACTTAAAAATAGTACTTAGTTGTGGTCTTGGTTAGAAGAAACTAAGAAATAGTACTAAGTTGTGGTGTCCTGGTGTGATGTCGTAAATTCACGGGAGGTGTCCGGTGTTATTCTGCGGTTTACATGTTGTAATGTACTATCATATTATTTATTTATGTATTTCTCTGTGCTGAGTGTTCTTGTGTTTGTTTGTGCTGTATTCCTGTCACGTAGTGTTGTCATTTTAGCGGTATTTATAACATTGCCATATAAGCGGGAGGTTTGGCTAGCCATAAAACCAGGTTCAACCCACCATTTTTTTCTTAAAATGTCCTGTACCAAGTTAGGAATATGGCAGTTGTTAGCAGACAGCCCGTTTCTATGTATGCTGGCGTTTGCTTTTGTTGTTGTTCAGTGTTTCTGTTGTTCCGTTGTTTTCCTCTCATATTTGATGTTTTTCCCTCGGTTCTAGTTTGTTACCCGAATTTGTTTTCTCTTAATCGAATTATGGTTATTGAACAGTGGTTTACTACTGTTGCCTTTATTTAGAAGAAACTAAGAAATAGTACTAAGTTGTGGTCTTGGCCAGAAGGAATCAAGAAACACCAGCAAGATGTGCTCTTGGTGTGAAGGAACGAAGAAATAGTAACAAGTTGTGGTCTTGGTGAAAAGAAACTAAAAAATAGAAACAAGTTGTGGTTTTGGCACAAAGGAACTAAGAAATACTAGTAGTACCATGTTTCTGTCAAGAAATATTTTCAATACTGTCGTTAAAAAAAATAATGAAATTCAAGGGTTTTCGATTTCTAACTTATAATATCAGAATGTGGACTTGGTTTCGGTCCATTTGAACAGCTCGATCGACGTTCTGCGTTTGATTGGCAATGGTAGATAACATATTTAAATTAGCTGTCACTAGTTGATATGGTCATAATGGTCATTGATATGGTCATAATACAAATTAACTGTTGACAAAACTTTGATTTTTTCGAAATACTAAGGAGTTTCGACACCAGGGATAGATTATCCTAGCTGTTTTTGGCAAAACCTTTGTTTGTTTTGTTTTGTTTTGGCAAATTTCGTACTTTATTTGGCCTTTTAAACCTTTTTTTATTCGAACGTCAATGATGAGACTTTTGTAGATTCGCGTCTGGCGTACAACATTTTAAATCTAGTATCTATAATGAGTTTATTGTTAGATTAACCAAGGAATCTACAATCTACCACCAAAACAAAGAATGTTTGTGTACAGGATGTATCTGGTGTGCTTAAATCTTAAAAAATACTTTCACCTCTAAAAGAGTTTATTAAGAAATTAGTTATGTTAATTGAGTACCAAGACATTAGTGCTACTAGATAACAGACAACTTGATAACATGTAGAAAAATCTAATGTTAATTTTCACAATTAAGTGACTCAAGTACTGCATAATTGTTCTTCAGAGGTCAGGGATTAATATGAAGCAATTAACTGTTAATTCAGTGAGATCTGCATTTACTTCAAAATCAAATGGAAAGATGATATTTTTTTACTAATACGTCGGTGACATGTAAATCAATATTAAACATTCAAACCAAAAAACCTAAATTAAATAAAGAATTGAATTTTTCTAAACCTTTACCAAGGTAAGTTTCGTTTATTTTTTATCATTGCTGTAGTGTACTTTTCCAATGAATTCAGCAATGATAATCAAGACCTGCCATCAACATTAAAATCTTGATGCCCCTACCCCATTCAAGAAACATTAAAAACAACTGACAAAATCCCTAAATTGGACAGATAAGATATTGTGATGCGATTAAACTATTTTATGAGAACTCGATATTTCTATTTGTTTTAGCTGATTACTTTTGGTACTGTGCGTTCTTTTAACTGAACAATATGTTACCAATATTTGTATTTTCTGCCACGGTATTATTTCCTGAAAGTCGTGTTGTACATGCAGTGAAGTTTTGGTAAGATATAGAATGTGGAAATTATTCGACAATCGATTTTTACCAAGTTAGTGTCTTGGTATAACAGATATAAATAGATGTTGTTTTTTTTTTTGTTTTTTTGTTTTTTATTATGCTTGTAAGGGATGTGAGGGGCGATATACGCTCAGGGTTTTTAATTTCCTGCAAGTATTTATTATTAATGGATAAGGAGTTTATTTGGACTAGTAAACAAACCGTGTTCTGTAAACGTTGGTATAATACATATATTAGATAAGCGTAAAAATCTTTCTTAGGAAAACAATTTCATGTATTTCAATATCGTTGGAAATTCACCGTTAAAAAAACTTCGCCACATTGTGAATCTGTGATATCAGAATTATCAGCTTGGGTGCTGTGATTAGAATAGACCATTGAATGAAATAAATGAGCTATTAGTCTGAGAGATTTAGCTAGCTTTAAAACCAGGATGAAAAATTTTGTCCTTTTTTTTTAGTTGTAATCTCTGTCCTGCCTTTTTATTTTTCACTCAATTCGGTCCTGCCTTTTTTTATTAGTTTATCCTGACTTGTTTTTACATAAATTGTCATCCTGCCTTTTTTTTTGCCAAGTTGCTGATCCTGGCTTTTTTAATACTCAAAACTCCTGTCCTGCCTTTCTTTCAAATTTCATCCTAGCCCCCCCCCCCCCCAAAAAAAAAATAAAATAAAATGGTAGCTCCCTAAGGTGACATGTCTTCCTATGGACTGTTACCTTGTGAACTAGCACGTCTAGTACAAATCAGGGTTACTATGCATAATACATTAACATGTTCTTTTCCTGAATATGCATATTAATTTGCCACAGCCATCCATCCTCATCATCCCATGTAGTCTACATTTCGATAAAAGGTCATATAATGCTTCACATTTAGGATCGAACGATTGAACTTTATTCATAAATGAAGCCTTAGAGTATTAAATTATCTGAGATACATGCATAATATATTGGAATAAACTGACACTTCTTTAAATGAACCAATCAAGATGTATATATCAATGACACTATTATGTTCTGGTTCATTTAGGAAATAGGGGAATTCGTAAATAACTCGCACACCTAAATAACACAAAGTAATTGATTTTCGTCATTGATCTGTATTATAAATCTAGCGAGTGTAATGACTATCAGTATATGACATATGAGTGACAGAAACGCAGCCACTTAAGATATTGGCCTCATGTTTAATGCTACATATTAGACCTTGTTTTTCGTTTAATGTTTTGTCATAGTTCAGGCTGTTTGTTTTATCTTTTGAATTGTTTCTCCTGTTTTTAAGCCGTGCCATTTTATAACTTACTATATGGTATTAGGTTTGTTCATTGTTGAAGACCGAAAGTGCCCTATAGTTGTGTACATCCTCGTCTTTTGGTCTCTGGTGGATAATGTTTCATTGACATACATACAAATCTCCTATTTTATTTTTAATTGGACTACGCACATTATTGATCCTTTTTCCTAAAAACTACATGTCTTCATTTTATACTTTGACGTTCAATCATATAATAAGGGTAAGAACATTACATGTGCTGATGGTTTACATATTTGGCAGGTTCCCGCGTAAGACAAAATACATCTTCCAATAGCAGATGTCATTATTGTAGCAGAAACCGGTTACTTTTAAAAATCATCTGAAATCTTTTTATCAGGTTTTTTGTTGTTCCGCCTGCATTTTATGGACTATTATCTAAGTTTTCGTATTTCAACTTTTGATCGTGGAGTTATTGTCCTACACGGATATAATTTTTATCCTAGTTTTTTAAGACCTTCTTTTTTAAACCCGTAACCGTATATATTCTCACGGTTTGTTATTTTTGGGAATAAAACGCGTAAATCTTTTATTTAAAAATCATGCGATTTATTTTAAATCTGCTTGTATTGTGTTGTGGCCTGTTCTTTGTCTTTCTTCTTTCTGCTTTAGGTTATGGTATTGCATGTCTTTGCTTGACGCGCAGTTGCCCCCCCCCCCCCCCCCCCCATTAGTATATTTTTAATATTTCAACAGCAAAAGTCGTTCCAAAGAAAATAAATTGTTTTATGCAATTAGTATAAAAAGCAGTAAAAGCAAACTTAAGCGAAAATTCGTTCAGGCTGTTTAACAATCGTAGATCTATTTATAATAACCATTAACATATGTTTCCTTTGTTCAATTCACAATTGTCTTATTGGCAATCATACTACCTCCCATTAGTTCTTAAAATAATAAATAAACCATATCTTCTTGGACTAACTATCAATCTTGTTTGTTTGTTTATTTTACGGGTAATAAGGATATACTGTCGTTTATTTTCCTTGAAGATGTAATTTTTCAACTATTTGTTCACAAAAACGCCCACTTGTTGATTCTAAAATTTGAAAAAAAAATATCTGTGTATCCAGGGCAACATTTCCATTCAAATAAATGAACACGAGACAATAAAGGTATAACGAAGATAAGAGAAAAACTAAACAACATAACCCAACACAAAAGGACATTTAACGGCCAACACAAGGTCATAACTAATTAAAGATTGCGTATTGTTTAAGAGTAGGTTAATGCTTTGAAAGTTCCATGATAAGTTTAAAAGTTTAGGTTTGGCATATTAACTACACAAACAGGGTCCGTAAAAATAAACACCATTCATCCTACATATAAAAATAAAGAGATGTGACATGATTTCCAGTGAGATAACTCTCCACAAGAGACCAAATGACACAGAAATTAACAACTGTAGGTCATCGTACGGCCTGCAACAATGAGCAAAGCCCATACCGCATAGTCAGCTATAAAAGGCTCTAAAATGATAACATACATGCTTAATTATGAGAGCACCATACATTTTGTACGTTTTTAACTCAATAAAGTAAAGCTTGCAATTTTGTACATACTAATATATAAAAGCGTATTATAAATTATATAGAACAAGACAACATTTTAATATGCCATTTCTTCTTTATTGTAAAACGTAACCATTGAAATAAGAGTGCAGATTACCCTGTAGTTTTTGACTTGATGCTCGACTCTTGATGTAAATGCGATCACCTTTTGCTAGCTCAAAGATCTGTGTCTGGGAATGTGAACCACTATTTGTGTTGTTAACATAACCATAAGAAAAAAAAAGAGCGTCATTCTTTCGCCATTCAAAGTTAACTGGTGTAGTACGATATGCCATAATCATACAAGACAAGACGTAAAGGCCATGTCTAGGTGCTGTGAAAACTCCAGGGTAGGGTTGTAATGGTTTCCAATGTTTGTTTTTACATCTTCAAATTTTATCACATTGTTGGACGTTGTTGGAATACCCTTCACGAAAGCTAGGAAAGCAATTCTCTCTTTTCTTTCTAAAACAATATAGATAATTGGTAATTACACTGTACATTAAAGATAGACTAGCACATAAAGTATCGCTATATATTGTTAAAATAATTTTGAAAATATAAGCATCTTATTGAAATATTGATGAACTAGGAAATTCATGAAGTTTCATTTTACTTCTTTTGGTATACATTCTTTACAAGAAATATTGAATTCTACAAACAAAATTATTTTGTCGATTTTTCGATTACAATAGATTTAAATGTTGTCAGTATATAGAAAACCCTAGAATCTGTACACAGCAGTATCGTTTCTCCTTGCTTTTAATAATTACACAGGAAAATAAAAATAAACAATCACTGAACAATACCTTGTATTGGAACACCAAGCTTGTTTACTCTCATCAACATCTGGAGTAGGTCTTCTGTGATACAAGTTGTCTTTCCTATAATAATTAACATGAATTAACAAAAGTGTTTATTCCTTTTTTGTTGTTTAAATATAGTCCTATTATTTTGAATATAATACTTATATTCCATATACATGTATATTCGACTTATACGTATAATAACTACATGACACATTCAAACACACTGTAACTTTCCGTTTATCTATAGATATGATGATAATCACTATCGAGACTACTGGTGCTAGATGAAGATTTGTCTTATTGGCAACCATACCATACAAACATTAATTTTCATATTTAAACATCTTAATACACTTACCATGGCCAGCATCACAGTCTCCTGACACGCTAACACCCATAGTCAGAAAGGCAAGGATAAACTGTATTGTCATCTTCATATTGTTCACTATTGTTAGATAACAGGAATGAAGTTGTCTGTTTGTCGTTGGTTTTGTACCAGCTTTATACAACTAATTACCATATTGCATGTCTAATAGAGAAAGCAAAATTAAACCTGATATTCCAAAATGACGAATGAATAAAATTGTCCTAATTCCAAAACAAAACTATAAACCATATATCTTGATCAATATTCTAATTATTTTTAGCAAGCATAGTCGAAAAGATAACGTGACTATGTGCTAGGATGAAAAATTTTGTCCTGCCTTTTTATTTTTCACTCAATTCGGACCTGCCTTTTTTTATTAGTTTATCCTGACTTGTTTTTACATAAATTGTCATCCTGCCTTTTTTTTTGCCAATTTGCTGATCCTGGCTTTTTTAATACTCAAAACTCCTGTCCTGCCTTTCTTTCAAATTTCATCCTAGCCCCCCCCCCAAAAAAAAATCAAATAGAAGCTCCCTAAGGTGACATGTCTTCCTATGGACTGTTACCTTGTGAACTAGCACGTCTAGTACAAAGCAGGGTTACTATGCATAATACATTAACATGTTCTTTTCCTGAATATGCATATTAATTTGCCGCAGCCATCCATCCTCATCATCCCATGTAGTCTACATTTCGATAAAAGGTCATATAATGCTTCACATTTAGGATCGAACGATTGAACTTTATTCATAAATGAAGCCTTAGAGTATTAAATTATCTGAGTTACATGCATAATATATTGGAATAAACTGACACTTCTTTAAATGAACCAATCAAGATGTATATATCAATGACACTATTATGTTCTGGTTCATTTAGGAAATAGGGGAATTCGTAAATAACTCGCACACCTAAATAACACAAAGTAATTGATTTTCGTCATTGATCTGTATTATAAATCTAGCGAGTGTAATGACTAACAGTATATGACATATGAGTGACAGAAACGCAGCCACTTAAGATATTGCCCTCATGTTTAATGCTACATATTAGACCTTGTTTTTCGTTTAATGTTTTGTCATAGTTCAGGCTGTTTGTTTTATCTTTTGAATTGTTTCTCCTGTTTTTAAGCCGTGCCATTTTATAACTTACTATATGGTATTAGGTTTGTTCATTGTTGAAGACCGAAAGTGCCCTATAGTTGTTTACATCCTCGTCTTTTGGTCTCTGGTGGATAATGTACTGATGGTTTACATATTTGGCAGGTTCCCGCGTAAGACAAAATACATCTTCCAATAGCAGGTGTCATTATTGTAGCAGAAATCGGTTACTATTGAAAATAATCTGAAGTCTTTTTATCAGGTTTTTTGTTGTTCCGCCTGCATTTTATGGACTATAATCTAAGTTTTCGTATTTCAACTTTTGATCGTGGAGTTATTGTCCTACATGGATATAAATTTTATCCTAGTTTTTTTAAGATCTACTTTTTCTGTGAGGGTAACCGTATATATTCTCGCGGTTTGTTAATTTTGGGAATGAAAAGGGTAAATATTTTATTTAAAAATCATGCGATTGTTTTTAAATCTGCTTGTATTGTGTTGTGGCCTGTTCTTTGTCTTTCTTCTTTCTTATTTAGGTTATAGTGTGGTATGTCTTTGCTTGACGTGCAGTTGCCCCCTCCCCCCCCCCCATTAGTATATTTTTAATCTTTCAACAGCAAAAGTCGTTCCAAAGAAAATAAATTGTTTTACGCAATTAGTGTAAAAAGCTGTAAAAGCAAACTTCAGCGAAAATTCGTTCAGGCTGTTTTATAATCGTAGATCTATTTATAATAAACATTTTCATATGTTTCCTTTTTTCAATTCACAATTGTCTTATTGACATTCATACTTCCTCCCATTAGTTCTTAAAATAATAAATAAATCATATCTTCTTGGACTAACTATCAATCTTGTTTTGTTTGTTTGTTTATTTAACGGGTAATAAGGTTATACTGTCGTTTATTTTCCTCGAAGATGTAACATTTTTAACTGTTTGTTCACAAAAACGCCCACTTGTCGATTCTAAAATTTGAAGAAAAAAAATATCTGTGTATCCAGGGCAACATTTCCATTCAAATAAATGAACACGAGACAATATAGGTATATATGTAACGTAGATGAAAGAAAAACTAAACAACATAACACAACACAAAATGACATTTAACGGCCAACACAAGGTCTTAACTAATCGCTATACCGGTTAGTATAAATTTAACAAAAACCTTCAAGGATTTGCCATCGTAATTAATGGACATTGAAGATTGCGTATTGTTTAAGAGTAGGTTAATGCTTTGAATGTTCCATGACTAGTTAAACGTTAAGGTTAGGCATATAAACTACACAAACAGAGTCCCTAAAAATAAACACCATTCATCCTACATATAAAAATAAGAAGTTGTGGCATGATTGCCAATGAGATAACTCTCCACAAGAGACCAAATGACAAAGAAATTAACAACTATAGGTCATCGTACGGCCTTCAACAATGAGCAAAGCCCATACCACATAGTCAGCTATAAAAGGCCCTGAAATGACAGCATACATGCTTTATGAGAGCACCATATATTTTGTACGTTTCTAACTCAATAAAGTAAAGCTTGCAATTTTGTACATACTAATATATAAAAGCATATTATAAATTATATAGAACAAGACAACATTTTAATATGCCATTTCTTCTTTATTGTAAAACGTAACCATTGAAATAAGAGTGCAGATCACCCTGTAGTTTTTGACTTGATGCTTGACTCTTGATGCAAATGCGATCACCTTTTGCTAGCTCAAAGATCTGTGTCTGGGACTGTGAACCACTATCTGTTTTGTTCACAAAACCATAAGAAAAGAGAGCGTCATTCTTTCGTCATTCAAAGTTAACTGGTGAAGTACGATATGCCATAATCATACAAGACAAGACGTAAAGGCCATTTCTAGGTGCTGTAATAACTCCAGTGGTAGGGTTGTAATGGTTTCAAATGTTTGTTTTTACATCTTCAAATTTTATCACATCATTAGACGCTGTTGGATAACCCTTCACGAAAGCTAGGAAAGCAATTCTCTTTTTTGTTTCTAAAACAATGATATAGATAATTGGAAATTACATTGTAAATTAAAGTTAGACTAGTATATAAAGTTTCACTATATATTATTCAAATGATTTGGAAACTATTAGCAACTAATTGAAATACTGATAAACTATCAAATTTATGAAGTATCATTTAACTTTTTTTGATATACATTCTTTACAATAAATATTGAATTCTACAAACAAACAAAAAAGTTTTTTATGAAAGGCTTTTGGGATTGTTAGCAGTTCGACAAATTAGAAAGCCCCTTTGAATTAGCTTCACTCCGATTTATTTGATCACAGTTAACATATTTAAATGTTGTCAGTTTATAGAAAACCCTAGAATCTGTACACAACGGTCTCATTTCTCTTTACTTTTTATAATTATGTAGGAAAATACAATGAACAAGAACAGAAAAATACCTTGTATTGGAACACCAAGCCTGTTTATTCTCATCAACATTTGGAGTAGGTATTCTGTGATACAAGTTGTCTTTCCTATGATAAATAACGTAAATTAAGAAAAGTGTTTATTCCTTTTCTTTTGTTTAAATATAGTCCTATTATTTCGAACATAATACTAATACTCCATACATAGTCGACCTATAATAACTACATGTCACATGCAAGCACAATGTAGGTTTTCATTTTCATTTTTATTTCATCCAAAATTTGTTTAATTACTATTTATTACCGGGAACGTATTTCGACAGATTTCAATTTTGATTTTTTATGATTGATCTGAAACATTATGCGACTTACCTAGTGTAGTGGGCTAAAGTTCACACGTTTATCTATGAATACGACGATAATCACCCTCTAGACCGTTGGTGCTAGACGGAGAGTTGTCTTATGGGCAACCATACCATATATAAACGAATTTTCATACCAAAGCAACTAGTTACACCTACCATGACCTGCATTACAGTCTCCTAAAACACTAAAAATCATGTTAAGAAAGGCAAGGATCAACTCTATTGACATTTTCATGTTGTTCACTATTCTTCAGTTAGATAACAGGATTGATGCTGACTGTCTTTGGTTTTATGCCAGCCTTATACATCTAATGATCACATTGCATGTCAAATAAAGAAAACAAATAAAATTAAACATGATATTGAAAAATCATATAGCAGCATGCATAAAATTGTCCTAATTCCAGGATAAAATTATAAACCACATTTCTTGATCAGTATACTGATTATGTCTTAGCAAGCACGGTCATCGTTTTAACTTGTTTTATAAAATTACTTTTCAGAAATCACAGGAACTATTTGAAGCACGCTTGGCTACACATTTTTGTAAGATTACGATTTTTAATACAGGCATTTCGAGCTTGACTGTTGTAAGGGGAAATAAAAAGATTCCTGTAAAATAAACTGTTCTAAGGAAAACAATGATTATTGTATTTCTTTCGATATCATTGGACATTCACCGTTAAACAAACGGCGCCACAATGTGAATATGTTGTGATATCAGATGTTCATGCTGGATAACCATCTTGGGTGCTGTGAATAGAAAATACAATTGGATGAAATCAATAAACCATTCAAATGGTTGTATTTTATTTGAAATTTATTATTGATAAAAAATTCTATTATTTTTAAAAAGAAATCATCTGGTTCGAAAATTGATACAACCATATTTTGATAATGAAAACTACAGGTAATTTTGTACTCATAAACACGTTTAACCATAGGCATTATCTTAAACTTATTTTTATCTAACATCAGACGATAATGTTGAAAATAATTATCCAATATAGGTACCTCTTACATACTATTTATCATCCCTGTGATCATATCGACCAAAATGTTAAGAAGTTCCCTCTAAATGAACCTCAATATCACTTCTGAATTCAATTTGAAGGTTTTTTTCCCCGGAATATCATCTTTAACTCTGTTTTAAACTATTGTACTCAGAGTTCTAGACGAGGAAATTCTTGCAAACGCGCTTTAAATACATTGGAAAAAATAAAATCGCGAACCTTGTTGACAAACGCATACACTTCCATAAAGATAACTCTGTAGGCACAAGAAAAGTTTTCTGTAACAAGATTAAGAGTACCAGCTGGTATGAAAGCAACATATGTTGATTTAACTATCATGTCAACCATTTACTGAAGAAATTCAAAGATCTTAAACTTTTGTTTCTAACAATATATCAAAAAAGACGTAAAAGAAATCTACTCATTTGAACTCAACATTTGTGAAGCGTCAAACTTGCAGTGTTCCGTACGAACTGGCAACCTAGATTACACAAACTATCTTATAAATCTCACACTGTATCAGTTGTTAGCAAGTTGGATACAACTTAATTGTCTGCTCGTCTGACAACGACACATACTTACAATAACGTCTGTCAAAACACATCGTCAATTTATTTTGGAATGTAAACATTCTGGTGAAGTCTTAAAACAACTATATTTTATCGTTCATGAATTTTACTCTTTTAACCTAATTTTGTTAGATTTATACACTACTCTTACACACCATCTGATCAGACATAAAATGGGTAAAGTAATTGAATGGGTTTTTGATAAATCAGGTCTAGAATTCATCGGTTCTAATCATAAACGGTCATAAACTGTCTTTTTTTCGGCCTAAAGGATGTTCGCTACTCTGTTTCAAAATAACAAGCTTTTTAAAAGATTGTTATAAATTGATAGTATATAAATATAGGAACTTAAAAAGCAGAAAACAATTAAGGGTCTGTGTGCTTTTTTTCGAGACATAAGCCATTGAAAATTTGGCGGGAAATTATTCTCTCTAGATTTTTCATACATTTAACATTGGCACCTGTTTTCTTTCAAAAACTATGTAAAAATTACAAGGAGTTAAATAGATTTTGACTATACGTAATAAAATTATGAAAAGAAAAGTAGGTATTGGCAGGCAAAATTTTCCAATGGCACTACATAAATAAAACCAGAGGATTCCGAATATCTGGCAAAATTTCAAAAACAAGAGGAGCGAACATCCTTAACAGATATGAATATATACCTGACAAATTCTATTAAAGTTGGACATCTGTTAAACTTTAAACTGATGATACTTTTGAAATCGATATATAAAATTTAGGGTTTATAACCCAAAATGTCATAAAAAATGACTACCTTTGTTTATAAAAATAGACAACTTGACAAAAAGTTCAAAACAAAAAAGGAAACATTAGATAAATCCCGTAAAGGATCAGTTGCAGCCTTTTTTGCAATATATATGCAATGATTCTGTTAAATGATAAAGTTTTAAATGAATTTTAACAGAAAACTAAACAACAAGTCTCAACAGTACTTTCTTTATAGGTTATAAAATAATAAATACATTGAGCGTCTTCCAATGAAAAAGTTTCTTTCTTGGAAATATAGTTAACATTTGGTCTATGATTAGGTTACTGAGGGTTCTCAGCCAGGGAACGTTACGGTAATTATTAGGTAAAGGGTTTTGAGGTTGATGTTAACAGAAAATAGGTAAAAGTTAAAGTTTGGGTCTGCGTAGAGCTACGAATGTAATTAGCAAAGACCTAAGGAAACAAAGCTCCGAGGTAAACGAACACTTTATAAATAACACATAGCTGAGAAGCTTGACAATGATTTTTCGAGGGGTAGGTGTTCTATCATTATTGTCTCTTAAATTTTAAATTAAAAGTACTTAACTATGACGTCATATACATAACAACGTTACAGTTATTAGAAAAACAACAATTTGAAGCAAGATGTAATTTTTTAATTTTGACAGTCTATAAAAAAGTTAGGAGACCAAAACGTAGAATTGTAGCATTTTCTTTAAACTTATTGATATAAATTCACTTCATTGTCCTTTAAGTTATCGATTTTTGATTGGTCTGCACGAGAGGGTGACATTCAAAAATTGTCTCCCGCTGAGCCATGGGATAGAGTAAATTATCTCCCTCGTATTAGCTAATCAAAATCTGTCATTTTAACGTGAAGTATGATAACATAAGTTATACATGGTGTTTGCATACCTAATGGAAGCAGTAGGAATTTTAAAACTCCATTATATAAAGCTAGGAATTTTAAAACTCCATATAGTAAAACTAAGAATTTTATATCTCCATAAGGTAAAAGAGATGCGGAAGATACCAAAGGAATAGTCAAACTCATAAGACGAAAAAGAACTGACAATTCCATAGCAAAACACGAAATACGACCAAAAGACAAACAACAGTCTACAAAGCACAACATAGAAAACTAAAGACTGAGCAAAACGAACCCCATAAAAAACAATAGGAATTTTATAACTCTATAAAGTAAAGCTAAGAATATTAAAACTCTATAAAGTATAGCTATGACTTTTAACACCACATTAAGTTTAGCTATGTATTTTATACCAATATGAATACCGGGTACATACAAGTAATAAAAGATAAGACAAAATTTCAACTGTAGCTTTTTATTGTAAAAGGTAACCATTGTAATAAGAATAACGTCCTCCATATAGTTTTTGAATAGTTGAAGTTCGGTGCTTAATGTAAATACGATCACCTTTCTTCAGTTCAAAGACAAATATCTGGGATTGAGAACCGCTGTATGTTTTGTCCGTATATCCGGAAGAAAACATAGCATCATTTTTTCGCCATTCATATTCAATTTCTGTATTACCATATGCCATGATCATACAAGACAAGACGTAAAGACCATTTCTAGGTGCTGTGAAAACTCCAGTGGTAGGATTGTAATGGTTCCCAATATTTGTTTCTACGTCTTTAAACTTTATCACATTGTTGGACAGTGTTGGATGACTCTTCACGAAAGCTAAGAAAGCAATTCTCTTTTTTGGTCCTGAAACAATTACATTGTATTGAGAATTATATTTAGATATATTCAGGATAGTTTAAATTTTCATTTTTTATTTGGCATTTACAATTTCATGAATTTAGTATCAAATTGATATTTTGATTAAATTACAGTGTCAAAATTTTTATTGTATATTTTTTGTATCACACAGTAGAAACCACTCACAATCACCTTTCAGTAAACTTTACTAACATGTTTATCCCCGCCACATTCTGTATGTATGTGCCTGTCCCAAGTCAAGAGCCTGTAATTCAGTGGTTGTCGTTTGTTGCTGTGTTACATATTTGTTTTTGTTCATTTTTTGTACATAAATTAGGCCGTTAGTTTCTCGTTTGAATTGTTTTACATTTGTCATTTCGGGGCCTTTTATATCTGACTATGCGGTGATTGCCAATGAGACAACTCTTCACAAGAGTCCAAATGACACAGAAATTAACAACTAAAGGTCATCGTACGGCCTTCAACAATGAGCAAAGCCCATACCGCATAGTCAGCTGTAAAAGGTCCCGAAATGACAAATGTAAAACAATTCAAACGAGAAAACTAACGGCCTAATTTATGTACATTAAATACCTTTCAATAGAGTATATGTAAAAAGTTATGTGCATTGCAAGATTATAATTTATAAGCAAGAAAAATCACAGTTGTCACTTTCTTGTAAAATATTTTTGAATATATATACGTAAAACTTCTAGATGTTAAATATCAAGAAATCATTATTATGATTATGTGTCCTGTTTTCTTTGTATAACTTCTGTGAAATTTGATCTGCACGACAAATAAGAGCCATTTAGATCATTCGCTACATTGGCTACACCTGATCTTTCCATTGTTAATCAATGTAAATAGCTCTTTTGTTATTGAGTAGAAGTAGAAACAGAAGTATTATACCGATGTTTATTTCTCATAAATCCATCAAGGAGATACACATAAAATTAAAAACCAATTGTTCAGAGAACAATTGAAGGTCTTTCCACATCAATTTTCTAAATTATTGATGAGAAGCTACTTCCGGTTACTCAAAGTTACTATTGGCGTCCAAGCATAGGTTTCTTCATACTGATTAAATAAACATATGTTCCTATATATTTTTGCCTGAAATAAGGGAGATAATTGTCAACTTCTAGTTTATGAAATGTCACTTCCGGTCTTGCATGATAGCTTTATTCACACTGATTCCAAATATATATGGTTTCTATATACTTTTGCCTGTAATAATGGAGATATTAGGTACTTCCGGTTTATTGAAGGTCACTTCCGGTCTCAAATGATACGTTTATG